TAAAACATAATAATGACATTTTTTATTAGATATCTTTGGACTCTGCAAAGTATATTCTCAAATGTTACCCTATATTACGTTATCAGAATTTCTATACTGAACTCAAAGTTTTAAAATGTATACATTCAGATTATATTTTTATCAAAATACCCTTCAGAGAGGCTAATTTAAGTGAAAGAAGAATAATATGAAATAAATAAAATTTATCAAATTGAATTTTCTAAAAATAATTATCAGAAATATTGTCCATATAAACTCATCTGTACCCAGATAATAGATAATTTTAAATAATTAAATATTTGATCAACATTTATTGGGAGTCTGCTAATACCATAAAATGTATGTTTACAAAAAAAAATTTTGTAAAAAGAGTGTCAATACTTTTTCACATATATACATATTTTTGGTGTGCAAAGCACAAAAGGAATTGTAGATATATATTTATCCTGTAACATAGAAGTTTCCACCAAAATTTTTGTCTTTCATTTCTTTCCATGAAAAATTTAATTATTAATGTTTTCTGTCTCTACAACTATTGAAATACTATGTGTAAACACAATCATCTGGAAAAATTATAATTTTAATTGAATGGTTAAAACTATTTCACAAACAGCACCATTCAACAATACTTTTCAGTGAACAATCATTATAATTAAAATATAAAATTCACATAAATGAAATGTGCACTATTGATAAATATAATGTAATGCATTGTTATATAATATAATGCAATATATATTTATGTAGACACATACAATGTAATATGTAAAATGCATATACATGTTATACATAAATATATGACTAAATATCGTCCATGTAATCCAAGTTGCTAAACTAAGACATTAATAAAATAAATGTATGACAGCAAACAATTGGAATAGTTATGTCAAAACTATAATATTCTTGAATTAGAAATGTTCTGTCACTATGGCATAAATTTTTTAAAAAACTCCTATGAAAAGTGTCCACTTTGATGCTATCCGTCACAAAATTAAAAATGAAAACATTTGTCCTTTAATTTTCATCACCTTCAATATAAATTTTATGGAAAATAAATTCTGACATATTTATTTCAAAATTATAAAATGAATAAAGTATAACTGATTCAGATATTTTTCCATATTTTAGCAAACATCAAGCAAATATATATATATATAAACACACACATAATCATATATAATCTATGTCTTTGATAGATTAGAAATTATATTTTACATTTATTTTCTTTATCATCACACTTCCCATTTGCCAACAATAAGCTTTATTATATGCATAATTGACATAGGTTATGAAAATTCATATAAGAATAAGAAATGTTTAAAATAAGTTAATATTGCTAAAAGATGAATAATATTCAGTCCATTACTGGAAATATGTAATGTGAAACATTAATTTGAAACTTTATATAAGTATTTTCTAATATGTAGGAAAAAAGTCTGATTAATGTTGAGATAATAATTTGGAAACCAATAAATCTAATGGAAATTGTTCTGCCAAATTAAGTCATGCAGAAAAAAGTTAACTATAATATCTAATTTTAATTAAACACCACAAAGTGTTATTATCATCCGTGAAATAACATTATGTAATTTACAGAAATTACTTCACAACTTATAACCCCAAGATAAGAAATCTGAAGAGATTTCATCATATGAAAAGACCTGGCTCATTTTTATAAATCTACCTAGGAAAGAAAACTGATCTTTACTGACCAAAGACATTTTCTGAAAACATAAATTCTGTATCTTTTAAAGTTTGACTCACTAAAACTCAGTAATGAAAATGGAAATGAATGAAATTCAATTAAATAGTGGAAAAACACAAAAGTTAATATGCTGAAATGCTAAGAAAAATTTATTTTTATTTTGTTTCATGGGGAAGTTGTGCAATGGCTTCATTAACTAAATATTTACAAATAATTTAAATACACTATAATACATATGTAGTGAAATATTAAAAACAAAATTAGGACCATTATTCTAATTCACTGTGGTGACAAAAAAAAATAAAATATTCTGTGACTTTTTAACTAAGTCAACTTTTCTTAGTTCATATGTTCCTTCATCTGTAAAACATATCTGAGTCAAGAGATCTGGTCATATACTCTCTAATTACTGGGTTTTATAAACTAATGGTGAATTTACTGTCACAGATTAATTGACCAGACAGCTGGTAATCACACCCAGGAACCCACGCTAATTTAAATTCAGGCTTTTGGTGAATTAATTCTGTTTTAACTTTAAAGGTCTCTCTCCTCTCTCTCTCTCTCTCTCTCTCTCTCTCTCTCTCTCTCTCTCTCTCTCTCTCTGTGTGTGTGTGTGTGTGTGTGTGATTGTGTGTGAAGTCAAAGCACTGTAGAAAATATCTTTACTTATTGACTTCTAAACAGTAAAATTAATGCCTTATTTTTATGTTTACATTTCATAACACAGTTAATCCACATAATTAACAAGAAAAGCAGCATATAGTCAAAATTGATGAGTTACAGGAAATGGCTCATCGAGTTTATTAAAATGCAGTGGAAGTTACTCATCACTCTCAGTTATAATCATAAGTAGAAGATAAATTTCCAATAGATTCTGAATATCTACTTGTCCTAACTTAAGTGGTTTATATAACTTAATATTATCACACAAACGAAATTAGAATGAATATAACAAACTGCAGGCTAAGAAACTAAATGCATATATTAATAAATATATATTATAAAATAAAATGTAGTAGTGAGGCTGCACTTCATGTTTATAAAGCCTGGAGATTCATGCTGAGGAAGGATGACAAACTCCAGAAATTCTACTTTTCTACTTTCTTTTAAAAAAACTTATAATTTTCCTGAACAATAAATCAGTATGAGGGTCTTTTTAATGATCTGTAAAAGATCTTTGAGTATACCTTGATTTATGGATTTGATTTCTTTGGGACCATGAAAATATTTTATGTTTTAAAATAATATTGAAAGTATTTCTTTAAAATTCAGAGTGAAAAAAGTAAAACCAATTTTTATACTGGCATAATCACATGAAAAAATATTAAGTGAAATTTAAATGCAGTAAGTTGACACAAATTGTTAATGTGATTTTCTACCTTAGGGTATACTAACGGTAGAAAATTATCTACAACAAAATTAAATTGTACTATGTCATCATATTATTTTTATTGAGATTATTATTTCCAATAAATAATTGGCATATTTGGGGATAGCATATGTGTAAACATGTTATTTTGGGTGTGATCTAAGATTTTTGCCATTGAAGAAAGAAAAAAAATATATATGCATGTATATGGAAAAACATTCTGTAATGTTAATAGAAGGGTCATTATTTATATACTCATGTAGATTGATCTTTAAAAATAAGCTTTCTTGCTTGCCAACATTGTCACAAAAGGCACACCTATTTCACATGTTGATATCTTTAAATACCATTTCTTATTTAAAAAAAAAATCTCATTTTTGAGTTGGTTGATTTTTAAGTCTGAGCCTGGAAATATCCAAGATAAGCCCAGAATATTTTTCAATTGCCAAAAGCAGGGATGCTATGAAAGACTATTTAGGCCTTGTTAAATTGATTCAGGCAACCTTTTGAAATAGTTTTCTGGCCAAAGATGGGGCTCTTTGAATACTTAGAAGAATAATAACCATAATGGATTCAAACACTTTAAATATGCAAAATCCACAAGGCGATATTTTTAAAAAGAAAGAAATAAACAACTTATTTTTATCTGTGTAAGATGCTAGGTAGCCAAACCCATATTTTCAAAACTAGTATATAATGGAAAATAATCAAGCATTTATCTATATATTCATGTAAGAATTTTACCAAATTGTCAATAAGGAAAAGTGTCTATTAAAGAAGTACTGGTTAATAGATAAAAAGGAATAACTGAATTAGAGCTTTGCTGGTTTTTTTTTTCACAAGCAATCAAGTGATTAACTAGGCAATGGTCATCAGTGATTGCTAATGTCTCAAAACATAAACTACCCAGGCGTTTCCTGTATCCTAACAGAGGCACAGAATGCATGTATGAAAATATTTTTAACATGAGTCATAAGAAATAACTAGATATAGCTACTAAATGGCAAGAAATTTAAGGAACAACAGTATATTTTACAGTAAAACACAGATAGTCAGTTGGTAAAATCCAAATTGTGAAATTAAAGGACATATGATTAATAATAATTCAAGAAATAAATTGCAAAGACAGAAGGATGGAGATTCAAGAGTCATATCAAACAATTGTGATTTATGAGGCTGTTTCAATCTTAATTTGAAGAAATAAATTTTAAAATGTTTATGAGGACATGGAGTAAATTTGAGCAGTACTAGATATTTAAGGAATTAAGCATTATCATTTTTAATTAAGTTTTTTAAGATAATAATAAATTTGCATGCAGTTAGACAAACATGTCATTTGATAATAAGAACTTTTCTTTTTCTTTCAAATCTGTATGTCTTTTATTTTATTTTTACTGGCTAGAACTACGAGCACTAAGTTGAATAAGAGCAGTGAGAATGATATATTTGCCATGTTTCCAATTTTTCACCATTAAATATAATGCTAACTATATTCTTTTTTATAGATGCTTTCTTATCAAATTAAGTTCCACTCTATTACTTTTTTTTTTCCTGAGGAGTTAATTCTGAATAGGCGTTGAATTTTATCAAAGGATTTTTCTTCATCAGTTGAAATCATATGCTTGTTCTTCTGTGGTCTAATAATATAGTGGGCTATATTGATTGATTTTCAACTGAAACCAGCATTGCATCACTAGAATAAGCACCATTTAGTGATAACAGAAATTCTATAGTTTGTTAAGAACTTGTGTGTATATATTCATGAAAAATATTGGGCTTCATTTTCTAAATATATTTGTCTGTCTCCAGTATCAAGATAATATCAACTTTATTAAGATAAACACAATGTGATGGGATCGATCCAAGATGGCCGTTTAGGAACAGCTCAGGATTGCAGCTCCCAGTGGAAGCGCAGAGGGTGAGTGGATGCCGCATTTTTATTGCCCACAGACTAGGAAATTCCCAGGTGGAGGAGCTCCACGGGTCGCCAGCGTGGCTGTTTCGACCAGCGTAGCTGTGCCGGCAGGTGCTGTTGCTTTGCCCCGCGTAGCTGCTTTGTCGGTGCCCTGGAGCAGCGGTTCTCCATACAAAATACACCGGTCCGGGTGCCCTTTTGGTGGGTGATTGGAGTCATGGGAAGTAGCCCATTTGTCTGTTTAAAAAGGGGATTGAGCAGGGAACCAGGACAGTAGATTCTAGGGCAAAAAAAGCGCCACGAATCTCAGTGCCGCTGTTTAAGCCAGCACAGTGACTTGTCACACGGGAAAAAACACACACCGCAGCACCTCTTCAACAGGTGACTGGAGCACCAACTTAAAAAAAAAAAAAAAAAAGGCTCTGAGGCAGGGAGCCAGGCGATCAGGCTCGGCTGGTCCCACCCCCACAAAAGAACAGCAATCAGAAACTCTCTGGATTGAGTTTCACAGCAAGCGCAGCTGAAGCCGGGATGGTCCAGCTCTGTGGGGGAGGGGCGTCGACCATTACCGAGGCAGCCCATCACTACAGAGGTAGTCAACCAATGCTGAGGCAGCCCGCCGTTGCTGAGGCAACCCACCATTGCTGAGGCAGCCTGCCGTTGCCAAGGCAACCCACCTCCGCAGAGAGGCTCCGCCTTAACAGAGGCGGGCCACCCTGCCAAAGCAGTTCTAACTATACCCATATAAACAGAACTGCATGGAAGATCAGTCGGCAGCTGGGCGGAGCCCACAGCAGCTCAGTAAAGCCTCTACAGGCAGACAGTGACTAGGCTGCCTCCTTGCTGGGCAGGGCAGGTCTGAAGGAAAAAAAAAAAGAAGGCAGCAGCATAACGGAAATTCATAAATAAAGCCCTAAATCCCTGGGACAGAGCACCTGGGAACAAAAAGCAGTTTATAAGTTCTGCTGCAGCAGAACTAAATGTACCTGCCCAGCAGCTCTGAATGAACAACGGAGCTCAAAGCTCAGCATTTGAGCTCCTATAAAGAAGAGACCGTCTCCGCAAGCAGCTCCCTGACCCCTATATATACAAAGAGCCACCTCATAAAGGAGAGATCAGATTGACACTTGGCGGATATCCTTCTGGGACAAAGATAGCAGAAGAAGAAAACTGGTAACAACCCTTACTGTTCAGCAGCTGCTGCAGGTGAACCCCAGGCAACCAGGGCCTGGAGTGGACCTCAGCAGACCTACAGCAGAGGGGCCAGACTGTCAGAAGGAAAACCAAGAAACAGAAATAACCTCACCATCAACAAACGGAACGTCCACTCAGAGACCCAATCTGAAAGCCAGCACCTACAAAGACGACAGGTGGATAAAACCATAAAGATGGGAAGAAACTAGTGCAAAAAGGATGAAAACACCCAAAACCAGAACACCTCTCCTCCTACAAGGGATCAAAACTCCTCACCAGCAAGGGAACAAGGTTGGATGGAGAACGAGTGTAATGAAATGACAGAATCAGACTTCAGAATGTGAGTAGTAAGAAACTTCTGTGAACTAAAAGAACATGTTCTAACCCAAAGCAAAGAAACTAAGAACCTTGAAAAAAGATTTGACGAAATGCTAACGAGAATGGACAAAATAGAAAGGAATATAAGTGAATTGATGGAGATGAAAAACACAACACGAGAACTTCGCAAAACATGCACAAGTATCAACAGCCGAATTGACCAAGCAGAAGAAAGGATATCAGAGGTCGAAGAGCAACTCAATGAAATAAAACGGGAAGGCAAGAATGGAGAAAAAAGGGTAAAAAGGAATGAACAAAGTCTCCAAGAAATGTGGGACTATGTGAAAAGACCTAATCTACGTTCGATAGGCGTACCTGAATGTGACGAAGAGAATGAATCCAAGCTGGAAAATACTCTTCAGGATATTATCCAGGAAAACTTCCCCAACCTAGCAAGGCAAGCAAACATTCAAGTCCAGGAAATACACAGAACACCACAAAGATATTCGTCAAGAAGAACAACCCCAAGGCACATAATCGTCAGATTCACCAGGGTTGAAATGAAGGAGAAAATAGTAAGGGCAGCCAGAGAGAAAGGTCAGGTTACCCACAAAGGGAAGCCCATCAGACTCACAGCAGATCTCTCAGCAGAAACCCTACAAGCCAGAAGAGAGTGGGGGCCAATATTCAACATCCTTAAAGAAAAGAACGTTCAACCCAGAATCTCCTATCCAGCCAAACTAAGCTTCATAAGTGAAGGAAAAATAAAATCCTTTGGGAACATGCAAGTACTCAGAGATTTCATCACCACCAGGCCAGCTTTACAAGAGCTCCTGAAAGAGGCTCTACACATATAAAGGAACAACCAGTACCAGCCACTCCAAAAACATGCCAAATGGCAAAGAGAATCAACACAATGAAGAATCTGCATCAACTAATGGGCAAAACAACCAGCTAGCGCCAAAATGGCAGTATCCAATTCACACATAACAATATTAACCCTAAATGTCAATGGACTAAATGTCCCAATCAAAAGACACAGACTGGCATATTGGCTAAAAAGCCAAAACCCATCGGTGTGCAGTATCCAGGAAACCGATCTCACATGCAAGGATACACAAAGGATCAAAATAAAGGGATGGAGGAAGATTTACCAAGCAAATGGAGAGCAAAAAAAAAAAAAAGCAGGAGTTGTAATTCTCATCTCTGATAAATTAGACTTTAAATCAACAAAGATCCTAAGAGACAAAGAGGGACATTACACAATGGTAAAAGGATCAATGCAACAAGAAGAGCTAATGATCCTAAATATATACGCACCCAATACAGGAGCACCCAGATACATAAGGCAAGTTCTTAATGATTTACAAAGAGACTTAGACTCCCACACAATTATAGTGGAAGATTTTAACACCCCATTGTCAATATTAGACAGATCAACCAGACAGAAAATTAACAAGGGTATCCAGGACTTGAACTCAGACCTGGACCAAGCAAACCTAATAGCCATTTAAAGAACTCTCCACCCCAAAGCCACAGAATATACATTCTTCTCAGCACCACATCACACCTACTCTAAAATTGACCACATAATTGGAAGTAAATCACTCCTTAGCAAATGCAAAAGAAAGGAAATCATAACAGTCTCTCAGACCACAGTGCAATCAAGTTAGAACTCAGAATTCAAAAACTGACCTGGAACCGCACATCTTCATGGAAACTGAACAACTTGCTCTTGAATGTTGACTGGATAAACAGTGAAATGAAGACAGAAATAAATATGTTCTTCGAAACCAACGAGAATGAAGACACAACTTACCAGAATCTCTGGGACACATTTAAAGCAGTCTCTAGAGGAAAATATATAGCAATAAGTGCCCACGTGAGAAGCAAGGAGAGATCAAAAATTGACACCCTATCGTCAAAACTGAAAGAGCTAGAGAGCAAGATCAAAAAAACTCAAAGTCTAGCAGAAGACAAGAAATAGCTAAGATCAGAGCAGAACTGAAGAGATAGAGACATAAAAAACCCTTCAAAAAATCAATAAATCCAGGAGCTGGTTTTTTGAAAAGATCAACAAAATAGACAGACCACTAGCCAGATTAATAAAAAAGAAAAGAGAGAATAACCAAATTGATGCAATAAAAGCTGATAAAGGGGATATCACCACAGATTCCACAGAAATTCAAACCATCTTCAGAGATTATTACAAACAACTCTATGCACATAAACTAGTAAACCTGGAAGAAATGGATAGATTCCTGGACACTTGCTCCCTCCCAAGCCTAAACCAGGAACAAGCCGAAACCATGAACAGACCCATAACAAGGTCTGAAGTTGAAGCAGCAATTAAGAGCTTACCACCCAAAAAAAGCCCAGGTCCAGGCGGGTTCACAGCCAAATTCTACCAGACATACAAAGAGGAGCTGGTGCTATTCCTTCCAAAACTATTCCAAACAATACAAAAAGAGGGAATTCTTCCCAAATCATTTTATGAGACCAATATCATCCTGATTTCAAAACCCCGTAGAGACTCAACAAGAAAAGAAAACTTCAGGCCAATATCCATGATGAACATAGATGCAAAAATCTTCAATAAAATACTGACAAGCCGATTGCAACAGCACATCAAAAAACTTATCCACCATGATCAAGTAGGCTTCATCCCTGGGATGCAAGGCTGGTTCAACATACGCAAGCCTATAAACGTAATTCACCACATAAACAGAACCAAAGACAAAAACCACATGATTATCTCAATAGATGCAGAGAAGGCCTTTGACAAAATTCAACAGTCCTTTATGCTAAAAACCATCAATAAGCTAGGTATTGTTGGAATGTATCTCAAAATAATAAAAGTTATTTACGACAAACCAGCAGCCAATATCATACTGAATGGGCAAAAACTGGAAGCATTCCCCTTGAAATGTGGCACCAGACAAAGATGCCCTCTCTCACCACTCCTATTCAATATAGTATTAGAAGTTCTAGCCAGAGCAATCAGGCAAGAAAAAGAAATAAAGGGCATTCAAATAGGAAAGGAGGAAGTCAAATTGTCTCTATTTGCAGACGACATGATTGTATATCTAGAAGACCCCATTATCTCAGCCCCAAATCTCCTGAAACTGATAAGCAAGTTCAGCAAAGTCTCAGAATACAAAATCAATGTGCAAAAATCACATGCATTCCTATACACCAATAACAGACTTAAAGAGAGCCAAATCAAGAACAAACTTCCATTCACAATTGCCACAAAAAGAATAAAATACCTAGGAAAACAACTAACAAGGAATGTAAAGGACCTCTTCAAGGAGAACTACAAGCTACTGCTCAACGAAATAAGAGAGGACACAAACAGATGGAGAAACATTCCATATTCATGGTTAGGAAGAATCAATATCGTGAAAATGGCAATACTGCCCAAAGTAATTTACAGATTCAATGCTATCCCCATCAAGCTACCAATGACCTTCTTCACAGAACTGGAAAAAACCACCTTAAACTTCATATGGAACCAAAAGAGAGCCCGCATAGCCATGTCAATTCTAAGCAAAAAAGAACAAAGCAGGAGGCATCACACTACCAGACTTCAAACTATACTTCAAGGCTACAGTAATCAAGAAAGCATGGTACTGGTACCAAAACAGAGATATAGACCAATGGAACAGAACAGAGGTCTCGGAGGCAACACAACATATCTACAACCATCTGATCTTTGACAAACCAGACAAAAACAAGGAATGGGGAAAGGATTCCCTGTTTAATAAATGGTGTTGGGAAAACTGGCTAGCCATGTGCAGAAAGCAGAAACTAGACCCCTTCCTGACACCTTACACTAAAATTAACTCCAGATGGATTAAAGACTGATACATAAGACCTAACACCATAAAAACCCTAGAAGAAAATCTAGGCAAAACCATTCAGGACATAGGTGTAGGGAAGGACTTCATGACCAAAACACCAAAAGCATTGACAACAAAAACCAAAATAGACAAATGGGACCTAATCATACTCCACAGCGTCTGCACAGCAAAAGACAGTCATTAGAGTGAATTGGCAAGCAACAGAATGGGAAAAAATTTTTGCAGTTTACCCATCTGACAAAGGGCTGATATCCAGAATTTACAAAGAACTAAAACAGATTTACAAGAAAAAAAACAAACAAGCCCATTCAAAAGTGGGCAAAGGATATGAACACATACTCTACAAAAGAAGACATACATGAGGCCAACAAACATATGAAAAAATGCTCATCATCACTGGTCATCAGAGAAATGCAAGTCAAAACTACACTGAGATACCATCTCACACCAGTTAGAATGGCGGTCATTAAAAAATCTGGAGACAACAGATGCTGGAGAGGGTGTGGAGAAATAGGAACACTTTTCCACTGTTGGTGGGAGTGTAAATTAGTTCAACCATTGTGGAAGACAGTGTGGCAATTCCTCAAGGATCTAGAAATAGAAATTCCATTTGACCCAGTAATCCCATTACTGGGTATATATCCAAAGGATTACAAGTCGTTCTACTATAAGGACACGTGCACACAAATGTTCATTGCAGCACTGTTTACAATAGCAAAGACCTGGAACCAACACAAATGCCCATCGACGATAGACTGGACAGGGAAAATCTGGCACATATACACCATGGAATATTATGCAGCCATCAAAAACGATGAGTTTGGGTCCTTTGCAGGGACATGGATGAACCTGGAAACCATCATTCTCAGCAAACTGACAGAAGAGCAGAAGATCAAACACCGCATGTTCTCACTCATAGGCGGGTGTTGAACAATGAGAACACATGGACACAGGGAGGGGAGCACTACACACTGGGGTCAGTAGGGGGGAAATAGGGGAGGCACAGTGGGGGGTGGGGAGTTGGGGAGAGGTAGCAAGGGGAGAGATGCCAGATGTAGGTCATGGGGAGGAAGGCAGCAAATCACACTGCCACATGTGTACCTATGCAACAATCTTGCATGTTCTTCACATGTACCCCAAAACCTAAAATGCAATAAAATAAATAAATGGGTAAAAACAATAAAAAAAAAGATAAACACAATGTATTTACTCTTCTGTTTTATAACATATTAAATTACATTAAGTGTACTTTACTAATTTTATATAGAGTGGTGATATTCTCGTACTTTAAAAATAATATTTATATTTTGGAGAAACATGCTGGAACATTTTAAAATATACAACTGTGAATTATTGGACTTGACTCAGAATAATTTTGATTTGAGGGAGGATGGAAGATAGATGACTGTTTATAAGTTGAACATTTTTTTTTCTTTTTTTAAGACGGAGTCTCTTTCTGATGCCCAGGCTGGAGTGCAGTGATGCGATCTCGGCTCACTGCAACATCTGCCTCCCAGGTTCAAACAATTCTGCCTCAGCCTCTTAAGCAGCTGGGACTATAGGAACACGCCACCACGCTCAGCTAATTTTTTGTATTTTAGTAGAGACAGGGTTTCACTGTGTTGCCCAGGCTGGCCACAGGTTCCTGAGCTCAGGCAATCAGCCCACCTCAGCCTCCCAAAGTGCTGGGATTACAGGCATGATCCACTGTATGGATTAATTTTTTTTTTTTTAATTTAGGCAATGGGTCTAGATTAGGGTTTACATTTCCTGTCTCTCCACTTTTTAATATATTTATGTTTTTCTTAATGCAGATTTATTAACCGACACCTCTTTCTCATTGATGTATATCTGGTTTATAATTTATTGCTCTAGGTTATATTGGGTCACGGAATATTAAATGACAGTTGTTGTACAATTGTTTAAAATGCAATACCATTTCTGAAATAATTCTTCACTTTACTTCCTCTTTTGATAGTCTTTTCTAAATGCATTCAACACAGTTATGGGGAGAAAAACCATATGGTGTCTGTAATATGTGTGTGGTTTTTTTTAAAGGCCATTTAATTTCTTCTCATCTGCTGTCACTTGTTTTGAACAAGAATAATCATGACAGATTCATGGTTGGAGGACACAGGAAAAACAACTTGTCAGTCATTTTCAAGAATGTATCTATCTTGTGTATCAGTACACAGAAGTTGAATTGTTGCGAAGGTTTTTTTGTAATATTATCATTAAATGTTATTTATTCATGTATTGTATTTTAAAAATGTATGAATTATTAATTAGAAGTATTCAAATCATCCTTATGGAAACCTGCATTTTAATTTACACATTACATATAATATTTATCTTATTGCATTACTCTATTTTTTTCTTGCCTTTTTTTAGTTTTGTTTTTTGAGACAGGATCTCGTTTTGTCACCTAAGCAGAGTTCAGTGGCACAAAAATGGCTCACTGCAGCCTCGACCTTCTGGGCTCAAGTGATCCTCCAATTTCAGCCTCCCAGGTAGCTTGGACTACAGGTGTATGCCACCGTGCCTAGCTAATATAGTTTTTTGTATTGTTTTGTGTAGCGACAGGGTTTCACTGTGTTGCTGAGGCTGGTCTTGAACTCATGGGCTCAAGCCACCCACCCACCTCAAGTTCCCAAGGTCCTGGATTAAAGGCATGAGCTGCTGTGCCCAACCTACATTTCTCTTTTACAGAGTACTCTTTGGTTCTCACACACACAAAGAAAACAAAACCTTAGATTAATTAAAGGAATAAAAATTTAAGAGACAACAAGAAAAGAAAGTTGGGTAGTCCTACCTGTGCCAAAAAATAAAAATAAAAATCTATATTTGCAAAAATACTTAAACTGAGTTTTCCACTTTTCTTTAGTTCAATCTATGCAAATGTTACAGGGTAATTATAATAGCTAAATATATAACATTACAAAACAGAACAATAGAGATTAAATTATAAGATACATTGACAAAAGGACAAAAAAATCAATTTTTAAACCAATTAGAATAAAGAATGAGATTATAAATGTTTGCATATTAGTCAATATTTGTGAACATTAAAGCTGTTTTGATTTACCTACTTGAATATAACTTACATATGATTCCCTTTCAAAATAAACACATACAACAGAAAGTTTGAAAATCAGGCCTGTGTAGTGGCTTATGCCTGTAATGCCAACAATTTGGGAGGCTGAGGCTAGAGGATCACTCGAGCCTATGAGTTCAAACTAGCTTGGGTGACCTGGCACCACCTGATTTCTACAAAAAAAAAAAAAAATTAAAAATTAGTGAGGCATTTTAGCCTCCATTCCTTAGGTAGGAGGATAGCTCAAGCTGGGGTTGTGAAGGCTGCAGTGATCTGTGTTTGTGCCACTGCAGCACAGCCTGGGAACACAGTGAGACCTGTCTCAATAAAAGAAAGATTCAGTCAGAAGGCCACAACTCTGGTAAGCAGCCATAAACAACAAAATAATAAATAAATGACCCATCTTTGGGAAAAATATAAAATTTAAGTTCTACAAATGTATCAGGAACTGAAATTATATGCCAGGTAACTTTTTCTTCATCTTCGAATATATTATTGCATGCATCTAATAGCTACTATTTCTTGTATGGAATACATAAAATAGAAATCCATAAATAGAATACAAAATAGAAAGCATGCATGCTGTTAACTATCATTTAAGAGGCTGGCAAACATTTTTTGGAAGGAATTAAAAAGCAATCTGCTTAGTTTTAACTCTGTGGTATATAGTTATCTGGGATCACATGTTTCATCAATACTGCAAGTTTAACCAAGTATAATAAGCAACAATAATTATTAAAATATAATTTCAATAATTATTTTGTGCATGTATCTGTATAATACTTATTTTACTGGGAGCATTAAATATGTATATTTAACTTCATGAATTTAAAAGGCATTACTATTCTAGATTTAAAAATATATGCTTTATTCTCTGATATGCATATTTATTACTGTAATAATAATTTTTGAAAACCCTCTAAGGCAATGATCCAAACCTTTTTTGGCACCAGGGATTGTTGTTTCAAAACACAATTTTTCCACAAATGTAGGAGGTAGAGCTGGTTTTAGGATTAAATGGCTCCACCTCAGTTCATCAGACAATAGATTCCCATAAGGAGAGCATATAGCCTATGTATGCTCAGTTTACAACATGGTTCCCACTTGTATGAGAATCTAATGCCGCTGCTGGTCTGACAGGAGGTAGAGCTCAGGTGGTAATTTTCAGTTGCCTACTACTCACCTCTGGTTGTGCGGCCCAGTTTCCTAACAGGCCAATGGACCTATACCAATCAGTGGTCCAGGGACTGGGGTAGGCGACACATCCCTGGACCCTAATCATTTTGACTTCACGGTAACTGGGAGAGGGAGCTCCTCCCGGCGAGAGCAGAAACCACCTAAGAAGCCCAAATCTCCCAGAGCTCCAGGAACTGGCAGAGGCCGGGACGCCCCAAAGGGAGCGGCACCACGAGACCCAAGGCGGCCACATCAGAGGGTGTGCAGGTGAAAAGGGTCCTGGAAAAAAGCCCTGGGAAGCTCCTCTTCAAGATGCCTTTCCAAACTTCGCCAGGGGGCAAGGCTCAGGGAGGTGGGGCCACCACATCCACCCAGGTTATGGTGATCAAACGCCCCGGCAGGAAGCAAAAAGCCGAGGCCGACCCTCAGGCCATTCCCAAGAAACGGAGCCGAAAGCCGGGGAGTGTGGTGGCAGCCGCTGCCGCCGAGGCCAAAAAGAAAGCTGTGAAGGAGTCTTCTATCCGATCTGTGCAGGAGACCGTACTCCCTCCCCATCAAGAAGCGCAAGACCCGGGAGACGGTCAGCATTGAGGTCAAGGAAGTGGTGAAGCCCCTGCTGGTGTCTACACTTGGTGAGAAGAGCGGGAAGGCACTGAAGACCTGTAAGAGCCCCGGGCGGAAAAGCAAGGAGAGCAGCCCCAAGGGGCGCAGCAGCAGCGCCTCCTCGCCCCGCAAGAAGGAGCACCACCACCATCACCACCACTCAGAGTCCCCAAAGGCCCCGGTGCCACTGCTCCCACCCCTGCCCCCACCCCCACCTGAGCCCGAGCGCTCCGAGGACCCCACCAGCCCCCCTGAGCCCCAGGACTTGAGCAGCAGCGTCTGCAAAGAGGAGAAGATGCCTAGAGGAGGCTCGCTGGAGAGCGACGGCTGCCCCAAAGAGCCAGCTAAGACTCAGCCCGCGGTCGCTACCGCCGCCACCGCCGCAGAAAAGTACAAACACCAAGGGGAGGGAGAGCGCAAAGACATTGTTTCATCCTCCATGCCAAGGCCAAACAGAGAGGAGCCTGTGGACAGCCAGACGCCCGTGACCGAGAGAGTTAGCTGACTTTACGCAGAGCGGATTGCAAAGCAAACCAACAAGAATAATGGCAGCTGTTGTCTCTTCTCCTTATGGGTAGGGCTCTGACAAAGCTTCCTGATTAACTGAAATAAAAAATATTTTTTTTCTTTCAGTAAAAAAAAAAAAAACGAGGGTGGTGGGTGTATGTGTGTGTGTATATACATATACATATATACACACAAATATATATATATATATATACACACACACACAGTAATATATGTGTGTATGTAAATATACATAGGTATTTGACATATCCCTAACAGTATAATACTGCATATTTGTAAACTATAAAAATATATAATTCAGTTATAATTTTTATTTTTACATTATTTGAAGACACAGAAATCATTTTTGAAACAAGATTGTGTGCATTTGTGTGTGCGTGTGTGTATGTGTGTGTGTTAAGACAGACTGTGTTTCTGTGAGTTTGTGTGTATGGCATAATCTTTTTACTGTACTTCTAGCAAAGCTTACCAAGGTTTTTGCTCTTGATCCCTTAATATGAAATGAAAGTGATCATTTAAAAATATAAATCATATCATAGTATTCTCATGCTTCAAGTTGGTGTTGCCTCTCCATTTCACTTAAGATAAAATACAGAGTAATTATCATGGCCAGCATATTCTTGTGTGACTCAATGCTCTTACTTGGTGAGAATGCAAAATGGATCAGCTATTTTACAAAATGGCTAAACAATCTCTGAGAAAGTTAAACACAACTACCACATGACCCAGCAATTTCATACCTACTAGATATTTACCCCTGGGAAATAAAAATGTGTTCTTAAGAAGATTTTGACACAAATGTTTATGACATCTTTATGCTTAATCACTGAAAACTGTGAAAAACACAGATGTCCTTTAACTAGTTAATGGGCTAACAACTGTAGTAAATGAATTCAATAGAAAACTAATCAGCAATACCTGAAGAACAAACTGTTGATTCACACATGGGTAAACCTGAAAAATAATTTGTTTGAAAGAACCCAGACCTCAAACTCTCAAATATAATACAAAATTGTATTTATTTTATTTATATGATGTTCTGGAATAGGTAAGGAATAGAGCGATGTATAAAAAGATCATTGTCAGTGTTTGGAACATAGGGCCAGGAATTGACTACAAACTATCAACATGAGGAAATCTTGCTGTGAAGTAAATATGTCATAAAGCTCTTTGTAGAGTTGGATGCATGGCTTCATGCATTTTTCAAAAGTCATATATCTTTACACCACAAAGAGTAAATGTTAATTGACATAATTCTTTTTAAGCAACCAAGATGTGGTAGAATCGAACATTTAGTGGAGTAAGAGACAAATAAATCTATATGTATTACAAATAAACCACATACCACCCTTATGGGCCTTGGGAATAAAAGAGCTGACCAAAATAACTTTAAAATTGTTTCTACAAGATTCTGAAGCCTAAGGATAAAAAGAGAGGCACACAAGCACTATACTTAAAGAGTTAAATTTGTTTTTGAGAAGTGAGGATTAGTAGTTCTAAAACTAATTTATATGTGTAATATGATTGAACAAACATACACATATATTATTGCAGGTAAGGAGACCTAGGTGTTTCTGCATAACAGAAGAAAGTTGTGAAATTATAAATAAGGAAAGGAGTGACACTGCACTACAGCCTGAACAACAGAGTGAGACATTGTCTCAATAAATAAATATAAACAAGGGAAGGGGAAAGGCTAGCTCTGGATTCCAGTGGGAGGCAACGATATAATCATACACACATGCAAACACAAACACACACACACACACATACATACATATTATACATGTCTGTATATATATGAAAAATTCTAATCTTTCTAGGCCTGTGTGTTAAGAAAGTCTAGAAGTCTCATGATGGTAGCAATTTGTATACCTAGTGCTCAGATCTTGGTTTCCAAATATTCTTCTATAAAATAAATGTCAGAGTTCCCTGAAAAGTGGTTACTTCTAGGGCAGGGGTAGAGACAATTGAAGATAAGTCTAGATCATCTGGTATGGCCAAAAAAACAAGGAACTTCTCAGAAAAGAAAAGGCATAAAGGCATGTCAAATGTACACAGGAAATTATCTGTGATGGCAGAAATTGCCTGTCTGGAGGGGCCACTGTGAAGACGGTGGCTTCAGTGGCAGAGCCAAAGCTGTGTGCTCCAAGTTGCTGGTGTGAGTCAGGAACAGGCAGGAGCACTGCCCCCTTTCAAGTTATGGCTGGGAACTCAGGCCTCCCTGCACTCTCGGGGACCTGGGAGGCTCCCCTACCCCCACAGGCTTGGAAGTACCTGTCCTGCTGCCAGGATTCTCTTCACTCCTGGTGCCCCCTACAATTTTGTAGCAAAGTTGAAGCCAAGCCTGGGCTCTGTCACCATCTAGCTGGGTGTGTGTCTGCTCAGGGCAGCACTAACAGGCCAAGCCCCTCCTGCTCAGCCCCCTTCAGATTTTGAGTGCCAACAAGCATGGGAGGGAGGCCGAGGTGGCACTGAGGGTCACTTAGTGTGTGGGCTTGAAGGTGCCCTTTGGCACAAACAGCTTGGATGCTGTGGATGACATGATTGATAATGGCAAGAGGTAGACAGGCTCCTGGGTGAAAATGGGTGGATCCCTGGTGAAGATCCATCATCAAACCAGGGACAGCCCGAAGCATGGGAGATAATCTGTCAGTTCCCACTGGAGACTGTAGCTCAGATTGAGAATTTATGGTGCTTTTTCTGGGCCCATCCATGGCTGTCCATGGACCAATTAGCACTCATTTCCTCCTTTTGGAAGCCCATAAAACCCTGGATTCAGCCAGACTCACAGAGACACTGGGACGACCTGCATGTGGATAGGAGCTACCAACTCTGGATCTCTTTGCAGCTAGGAGCTGCACTAGTTAGGATGACTACAGAAAGGAACTATCCAGTTCGGGTCTCCTAAAAGCCATATTTTTGCTCAATAAAGTACTTCTTCACCCTGCTTACCCTCTGGTTGTCTGTATACATCATTTTTCCTAGACACATGACAAGTAGTTGGACCCGCCTAATGGTGGAAGTGAAAGAGCTGTAACACACATAGAGCTGAAACATGCACCCCTGCTCCTGCTCCCTTTCTTCACTCTGTGGGCAAGGAGGAGAGAAGAGCTGTGCAGCCTTTCCTGGAGCCCAGAACTAGAGGCTTCCCAGGTCAGGGCTGTAACACCCTTTTTGGGGCTCTGTGATTTCTGGCATCTGCAGCTTTCGGCTACTGCATTTCCCTCATCCAGATGTGGGTTCCTGCAGTGGAAGTGGCATGTGGTACATCTGGTCCAGCTGCAGACTTGCACAAAGCTGACATCTGTGCTGGAATATGGGGCTGCCCACCCTACCACAGCAGCCAGCATGCCTGTTCTTGTGCAGTGGCCAGACCCACTGCTCACCCACATACCCCTTGCCATTCCACACCTGGCTCACCCTTGGCAGGTGTGATATCTGGGCTGGTAGCACCAGCTAAATACAGTCTGCCAGGCTGAGTGGGTGAAACAAGTCCAGTGGAATGCAAGCAATACTCAGGAAGAAGGCTCCACCAGGCATAGAGGTTTCTGGCTGGTGAAGCAGTACCTCAAAGATCCCGTGACAACTGAAGGTCTAAATGGCCAATGCTAGAACAATTTATGTAGCAAAGTAAATAATCATGGTATTAGATTATAGCTTAAGGAGTGAAATGAGTATTTTAAACTCATTCTGATGCATTATGAGTCATAGTATTGGATCATAGCTTAATGAGTGAAATGAATGCTTTTAACTCATTCTCATGCATTATGAATGGGGGAGAAGGGACAACTCTTTGTTGCAGAATAATTCCAATTACCAAATGTAGAAGAAATTCATAAAATAAAAAAACATGCATAGAACATCTCAGTAATAATCACTACAGGTAAGTTTCTGATAGGGGCTAAAAGCAATTGGCACACAGCTAAAAAGAAATAGAATCCTGTTGCTATGTATTTGATGGAGCAAATATAGAATATTTTTATCATTGTCAGTTGAACAGTGTTTTTAAGTGATTGTTAATAAATGGATGATATTTTTTTTAAATAAAATTTTTAAGTTTTGGCACATCAATATTGTCTAAGAAATTGGTAATTACTTTACTTTTTTTTTTTTTTTTTTTTTGAGACGGAGTTTCGCTCTTGTTACCCAGGCTGGAGTGCAATGGCGCGATCTCGGCTCACCGCAACCTCCGCCTCCTGGGTTCAGGCAATTCTCCTGCCTCAGCCTCCTGAGTAGCTGGGATTACAGGCATGCGCCACCATGCCCAGCTGATTTTTTGTATTTTTAGTAGAGACGGGGTTTCACCATGCTGACCAGGATGGTCTCGATCTCTTGACCTCGTGATCCACCCGCCTCGGCCTCCCAAAGTGCTGGGATTACAGGCGTGAGCCACCGCGCCCGGCCTTACTTTACATTTATAAGTAGAAATTACCTTATACTGAACTCAGTTTTGTTAGGTTAAACATATCTCATTTTCTTTTTAGACAATAATTGCTGCAATTTATAGGTAACAGTGTGAAAAATCAATTAAATAGTAATCATAGAAAATATATAATTGTATGTGAGAAATGTAGTACATATAGTAAATGTACTTCAAAATCTGTAATGATACCCAATTCATGAACATATATACATATAGACAAGTCAATAAAATGTTGACTCTATTAATTTGTCATGGGTGAAGCCCCAAATATCTGTTTGTCATCATTTATTGAGTCTGAAAAATTTAGTCTTTCCATTGGATTATTTTAATAATTACTTAATATAATTATTTGTCTGAATCTATATCTCCCTATTTGTTTTCTATATGAAATACTTCTACATTCCTTTTTTCTGATCTTTATTTGTATTACTTCAATATTATTTTGTTAGCTCATTTTTTTCTCTATTACTTGTTAATGAAGCATTCTTTTTGTTTTCTGCTACGTAGAGATCTTGACTTATTTCTATCTATTGTAAAATATTACTGTTATGACTTCCTTGAAATTACAAGAGGTTTGTATTTTAAA